GAGGCGCCGGCCCCCCGCCCGCCCTGCGCCCGGCTCCTCCGCGCCCGCCGCCGCCGCCGCCTCTCTCCCCGGCAGGGGGCGCCGGAGGGCAGGGGCGTTTGCGCCACCTGCGAAGGCACAAGGGCTGGGCTGCTGTGGCGCTGGGGGACCCGGCTCGGAGTTGGGGTGCAGAGTGCAAATTCCGTAGGCCGGCTGGTGAACGACCTGGAGGGTGGCGGGGTCCACTTCGTCTCGGCCGGGATGGTCACGCTGTCACCAGACACGCTGGACTCAGCCTTGCGCTGCGCGCTCCCTCCTGCCTCCGTCCTGGGCTGAGCGGAGGGCAGGGAGCGGAAAGCGGGCGGCTGCTCGCATCTTACACCAGGGTAGCCCGACCAAGAGGAGGAGGAGCCGCTTCTCCCCCAGGGAGAAGGGGGGCCGAGGGGTTAACACGCTTCCTTCCTGTCGTCAGTTGGCTTCTAATGACCAGGACCAGGACGTGGGCTTTCCCTCCTGGAGCGCCTGCCCTGGGCTTTCCCGCCGCCTTCTCCCTGAACGGAGGAAGGAGGTGGTGGGGAGACTCAGACTGCCTTTCCAAACTGCCTCTCACGCCCGATCGCTAGTCTGCCCCCGTTAGAATCCCAGGAGAAAGTTCCCCGCTCGCTTCGCTTCATTCGTTAGCAGGGCCGCTCGATTCAGTAATGAGCTCTCAGTGGCTCTTTCCAGGGGTTCTAAATCCTCTTACCCTGAGCTGCTTGAATGCTGTTTATATGTCACACGTGAGAGCTGGAAACTCCTGGAAGATCAGGTGAGAGGCTGAAGGTCCACCCCCAACCCCATCCAGTTAACACAGCGCTGTATGGGTAGCCTGAAATGCGGGGCGTCCATCAGCGCATTTGGTGGGGGCCCGGCTGTAATTCGTATATGTCTGCATCTTAACACTTTATTGCACGTTAGGAGTTCTCTTCTGATAACGAGAAGCTCGCGATATAAACGTGCCCCGAAGTGCCAAGCAAGTGGTCGGGCCCAGAGACGGTAGGAAGAGCGCCAGGTTGTAATGTCTAACTCCAGCCCCAGGACCATGAGGTGGGAGGTAGCTTGTCACAAGTTATGGGGGTGCTAACTGGTGAGGTAGGCAGATGTTCTGATTCAAAATAGTCTGATCAACTGAGAATTACCGTGCCCGTCACATACACCTCGACATTTTTAACAGCAATGACATCCTCATTCCTCTGTAGAATGCTTCTATATTTTCCAAAGGATTTTCCACATTTATGATTTTATTTGACACTCACAATAGTCCTTGAAGCTACGAGTCTGACTTGTTGGTTCAGTGTGGTGTTTTTCACCCCCTGCAAATCTTACCTAGACATAGAAGACCATAAACCACACAAATATTTAAATATGGCACTACACAAAATAAGTGTATTTTCACGTAGTGATTCAGAAGATACTTCAGAAGTTTGCAAAACCTGAGAGTGGCCGTTATGTAGTCAGAGAAAAAACAAAAAACAAAAAAACCTTAGATTTAGACACAGGCTGTGAGCTTCCTAGGTGTGTGAACTTGCGCACGTTGCCTTTAACCTTTCTGAAGCTCAGTTTTCTCATTTGTAAAATGGGGAAACCTCCCTCATGAATATCTGTGAGTATTAAATGAGGTCATGCCTATAAAGCATTTTTTATAGTGCCAGGGATATATTGAGTGCTCAGTAGACATTAACTATTGTTACTTTTTTTTTTTTTACATAAACCATTGCACAGAAATTTCAGCTTTAACTTTTAAGCTTTCCCTTTCTGGTTATATAAGAGTTTATTTCACAACTGTTGTTTGGGTTCCTAAAGAGACAAGCATATGAAAAATAAACCCATCCTAGAATTTATAAAGACTGTATCACTTCCAGATTGACCCACAAAGGTATTTAATCTTCGTCTTGCAGGGAAGAGGCCATTCTCTAGCAGGTCCTGTTTTTATTTGCTTACCAATTACTCTATTTTAATATCTGCTATCTTTTTCCCCCATCTTTACTCCTTTTGTTTTTCTACTGCTGCATTGTGGATGCTAATTCTGCAGATAATAGAGATGGGTGTAGGAGATTAGCTATCAGCTTCGTTAAATAGCTAGTAAGGCACCTATGGGGACACACCGCCTTGCAGAGAAAGTAACTCAGGCTGCAGATGATAAAAGCAAAACTGTCCATCTGCACAGCTGTGTGGCAGAAGATCGGGGCCGAGCCAACTTTGCTGCCTCCTTACTTTCAGCCCCTTACACTGAGCACAGATAAGAATGAGGTGTCAGAGAAGGTGCCCAGGCCAAGCTCACAGCCCGGGTTTGCCAGGGGAGGCAATCCCAAGGGTGGTCGGAGCATTTATGAAGGAGGTGAGCTGCAGCACGGACCTCTTGAAAACCTTTGCCTGGAGGCCTGGAACTTAAATGAATTGGCAGCTACTGATAGTGTGACATTCAGCATGGGGCTTGAGGGGCCGGCTAGAGAGCAGAGCCAAGCAGAAGGGGATGTGACTGGCCATGTATGGATAACAGTCCCCTGAGGAGGTAAACACTCCTGTAAAAGACAAAGCCTGCATCTGCTCAGGCTGCAGCCTGCATGGGACATGTCAGAATGAGGCTGAGTGTAATAGGGACCTCCAGGGTCTTAGGTTTGCTCTCCTGACACCCTGACTCTCTCCCTTCCCATTTCCTTGTTACAGAACAGGAAGTTCATCCTCCTGGCACCAGCAGAGCTTGGAGAAATATTGGCTGTTTTGTAATGAATGGTGCCATCCAGGAGAACAGGAAGCTAATGCTCAAAGTCCGAACTCCCTGATGGCATGTGGGCTACAGGGCGAAGTCGCAGGGATTTGGGTCTTGCTGGGAGCTGATTGGTCGGAGGTGAGGTAAGGGAGCTGAATCATTTCTTCAGGTCTTGAGAACAGCTCTGAGGTCCTTTCCAGCGTCCCTCTGTCTGGCTTCTGAGCACAGT